ATTTTTATATTAAAATAAATTTACAAGGAGTTGCAACTTACCGAGTTGCAACTTCTTAATTATGGTATCCATCTTTATTTGTGATATATTATTTTTATGATTTTCTTTAATAAAATTGTTTTTTTATTGAAGCTATTAATAAATATTATCAATTAATTGATATCTATTCATTTAAATTAAACTTTTACAGTATTATTCATAAAAATTTATTCAAAACCAGTAGAATTAGTTTACTTATAAACAAAATAACAGAAATATTTTTAAAATGTTAATTATTCCATTGCTTATGTTTCAAAAGCTTCAAAAATTACAAGTACTGTCTTTAAATCTAGTATTGGCTTTAATTTTTAAGGTTACTTATTAACATATTTTATAGTTTATTAATAAATAAAATGGTTTTATATCTGATCTGATTACTGAAAGTTCATATCAGTTATCAAATCAGATAATTATCAAGTTAAAAATTATGTTTTATGTGACAATTTTTTTGTACTGGTCGAATTGTGTTTTTCATTATGCATATGAATCTAAAATTTGGATAATAAAGTATTAATTAGAATTGAGCAAAAAAAATTTATGTCTAAAATAGACGGTAAAAATCAAAGATGTAAAAATACAAAGTTTTAACTAGTGAAGTGTGGCAAATAACAGACTAAAGAAATTTTGGAAGACTAATTAATAGTGAAGCTATTTTGAAACTAATTTAATATTAAAATTTTTTTTTTGCTAGTTAAATTATTATAAAATTTCAACAAAAAAGGGTTGTGATTCCTTTGCGTCTTCTGCAATTTAATTCATATTCCAATATTTCAACTTTATTGTTTATAGTATATTCGAAAAACTTCTATTCCGAAGATATTTTTTTTTTTAAAAAAAACAACAAAAAAAGAAATCTATTAAAGTTTGATTTTAATTAATTATCCCAATTACCAAAATCTTTTTTACAAAGCGTACACTGTTGTTTGAAATACTTTGTATATTCTAAATAACATTTCATATGTATTAAATGACCACAACCGGGATTTATAATCATTCTACCCCCTCTCAATTCCAAAGGTTCCAAACATAAATAACATTCTTCACTTTGTTGTTTTTGTTGTATTTCACATTCATTTTCATTAGAATTCCTTTCCGAGGAAAAACTATCATCTTCAAAAACTTCATTTTCATTTAAATAAGATGAACGATTTGATAATAAACAAAATGCTTCGCGTGAAGTATGATTTTGTATGAGATATTGATGATAATTTAATGGATCATGAAAGTTATTGTTATATGAATTATGCGATGCCGTTTGACTTGAGATGATAGCAGGTGATTGTTGTTCCATTGAAGAGTTCGATAAACGTCTACTTGATGGATTATTATTATTATTCGAATATGAATTTTGAAATGGAATAATATTATAATATTCACGAATTGCATTTGTTGGAGGTGTTGATGATTGAGTATGTCGAGTTGGCCGTGAAGGACGTGAAGATCGAGAAAAAGCTGGTCGAATAACATATGATGGTGTGAATTCTGGAATTGACCAAGGATTATGAAATAAAAACGCTTCTGAATTTGTGGATTCTGTTAAAGAAGCACTTGTTGAATTTGGAACAGTTGGATGAGTTGATGAAGTTGGAGTTGAAGTACTTGCATCTTGCACTTGTGTTCTGGTTGTTTGTGATCTTGAACTAGAAGTATTTGATCTTGATAAATTTCCGTTAACTAATCTTCTAACAAGTCTTGCGATTTGATTTGTCGAAGAAGTTGAATTTTGTCTTGTTGATGGTGTTGATTCGGTATTATTAATTGTTGTTCTATGATTAGGATGATTAAGTAATTCTGTCGACTGAGAAAAATACTGACCATTTATATTATTTCTTTGTGAATTAAACATATTTTCAAACGGGCGAACTAAGAAAATGAAAAAAACTGAAATTTTTTTCGTTGATAAAAATAAATCCTTTATATACTATACTTTATTAGAAACAACGAAAAAAAAAATTTTTTTTTAAAACAAATTTATTGGTAAAATCTTTCTTTCAACACGAGAGTGATTGTCAATTTGACAAAAATAAACACACAATTAGCTGAAAATCGTAATTACATCATTGTTTAAGATTTCCTCATCTGATAATGATCGTTTATTATAGCAATCAAACATTTGTGTTGAATTTTGAAATTACCATTAATCGATCACAGATAGTCATAGGAAAATGAATGTATTATGCGACAAAATTCTTTCATTGTTCAATTTGTTACAACGCCGCCATCCGTTTCTCCGGAGCTACGCTTGACAATACATTGAAATGGAAACAGAGATTTTGAATCTCAAATATAATAATAATTTAACATTATATTATTATATAAAAGGGATTTGTTTAATTATGATTAATTTTATTTACATTAATTATGAATATTCTTAACGTGTTTCTTTTAGTTAAAAAAGTTAATTTAAATTTTAATATATTAGTAATTTATATATAGTTATAATTGTTTTATTAATTAATTTATCTTTTATTTAAAAATATTTTATAGAAAAATTATTAAACTTTAAATGTTTAATATAATAATTATTCAATTTATAAATATGTCAACTTTTTTTTTATTCAATAGTTCTTAAAATTTTGAATAAATTTTTTTTGATATTCAAATTGTAAAATAAATAATTATATTAAAAAAATATAATATTTTATTAATAAATATAAAAATACATTTTATAATAATATTTAAAATATTAACTTAAATAATAAAGAATTGTTAAAAACATAAAAAAATAATTAATATTTTCTAATTTTAATAAAATTATAATAACAAAATATAAAAAATAGATAATAGTATTTAACTATAATATAAGATAATGATTTTTAATTCCACAAATATAACTAATCGCTAAATTTCTAAAATATGATCTCTTCTAATTATTAATATAATATTAAAAAAATGAACTTTGATGATTTGTAATTATTCTTTTAAATTTATTCATTATAATTAGAGATGTTAAATGGTCCCAAATGATTGTAAACAAATATTGAAATTACGAGTTATAGAAAAGTCTGATAACTTATCTATAATAAGTAACCCTTGATAAATAATTGTAATAATAAATTTTTGAATAACTTATAAAAGAAATATGAATTTTAAAATCGAAAATTAACATGGGACCGCTAAGGTGAGACCCAGTCCTTAAGACCAGGTCCTAAGTTTCAAAAATTAAGATTCTGGGTTCTCGCATAAGTTTAATATATATTTTTAATTTATATTCAATTAACAAATTATCATTAAAAACTAAAATATAATGCCAGTAAAATAAAAATATTCTCTAGAACTGCAAATTTATTGGGACTTTTAGGACTGTTTAGGACCGTTTAACATTCCTAATTATAATTAATATTTATTTATTTTTATAAGTAAATATAAGTAAAGTAATATAAGTGAAATATATTAATTTATTATTTTAATAAATAACTTAATTATAGAATAATAGATATTATATCAATTTTAAAATAATCATAATAAAATATTTCTACAAATAGTAAATACTATTGCTAATATAAGATATTATAAAATAATCTTCTAATTAAATTAAAATAAGTTTTAAGAATTATTGTAAGGCCAATTATTTCTATATTTGCATATTTTTATTTCTTATTAAATATTTTTTGAATTTCATTTATTAGTATTAAAGTGATAAATTCAATCAAATATAATTATGAACTTTATGATTAAAACTAATCTTTTAGATAAAACTGAACCTATCAGTAGGCGAAATCTCTAAAATTTATCAAAATCAGTTTTACTACAATAAGAAATTCTGAAACTAGCAAAATTCTTTGAATTGATCAAACTTCTGAAACATTTAAAACTTATAAATAAATTTGATTGGTTAAATTTCTAATATACATTAGTGATACTCATAACATGTATTTATTTGTTACATTTTTTTTTTTGTAATACTTTTTTATATTTCTAATATATCTAAATAAGGATTGAATATTTTACCAGATAGTATATTCCCACTAAAAAAATTAAGTGGTAAACCAAAATCAATTGTATAGAACACTTATATTAGACAGGGTAAAAAAGTATCAAATAGACACTATAAAGCTATTTGTTATATTATAATACCTTTTGATACAAAGGTTCACTTCAAAAAATAGAAGCTCATTTCACTAATGAGTGTTTAAAAGTTTCAATAAAAATAAAACAGTTATTTTTAAATCAGCTTACTTTAAAAGTAAATAATTTTCAACAAAAATCAAATAAAAAATAAAAATTTAATAGTATATTAGAAGATTAAATAAGGATTACAGACTTTTACAAAAGTTTAAAGCTTTTTTAAGAAAGGATTCATAAAATTAATTGGATATGTATAAAGACTTTTGCCATATGTGATATGTAATTGAAAATCCATTATTTATAAAATTTTTAAAAACTTTATGTTCAGGATATACTTTGCCTTTCAAAGAAGTACTTTCTAATTATCTTCTTACACAAAAAATAGTAGTTATAAATTAATACATTATTCAAAAGTTAGAAAATTCTACAAATCTAACATTATGTAAGTAAGAATATAAAATTTATTTAATTAATAATTTTTTTATTATTATTATTATTTTTTTTAAAAAAATTTAAAGCATGTAATGGTTGGATTAATAATACAAATAAATCTATTTAGAACTTTCTTATTAACATATCTAATCATAAAAAATATTTATGGTGTTAAAAAATTTATTAAGTGAAAGTTATATTAGTTTCTTTTTGATATAAGAAATAGAAGAAGTGATTGAACAAATTGGTTTAGAAAATTTACAGCAGTTATTCGGATGTAGGATTAAATATTCAGAATATTCATCAAATAATCATTAAAAAATATCATAATTTTCTTAATATGCATTGTATTGCTCATGCAATTAACTTAATTTCTAAAGATATTTGTAATGCTTTTTTTGCAAATCAGATTTTAACTAAATGCAATACTATTGTGACTTTTTTTAAGAAAAGTCATCAAGGAGATAATAATTTTATATTACATTATTTATTTATTTATTTAAATAGATGCAGCTTTAAGAATAAAAGCTGAATTTTATAATATAAATAGAGAATAATTGAAATGATAGGTTAAATATCTAATACTATATTATATTTAATTGCATAGATTCTATTAGTTATCATAAAGAAGCTTTAAAAAATATAATTTACTATTATTAATTAAAATAAATATTAATTTTATAATTTAATTAATTTAATTTATTAATTTTTTTACTTTAAAATTATGATATAATAATCTAGATCTTCTTTTATAAGCAGTTTTAATAATCTTATGTTTTTGTGCTTTTTTGATGATATTCATGCATTAATATTTGTTTTACATCCTATAAAAAAGGCAATTTAATATTAGAATTTCAATCATATATACTTGCAGATTGTTTTCTTAGATTAATACAATTTGAAGCTGCAATTAAAAAACTATCTAAAAATAATAATCAAGTTTTTGTTATCAAATATATTACTATTTTTAATCAATATTATATTAAATTTATTGATATAATATATTTGTTATATTTTTTTTACATCTAGAATATAAAGGTTAATAACTTTATTATATATTAAAATAATTTAATATTAATTTTTATATTTAAAATATATTATTTATTTTAAATATTTGTTGGATATGTGAAACTTTTCAAGAAATTTTATTAACTGCAAATAAGGTTTTTGAATAAATGGAAAAATTAAATATTGCATGTTGTGAATTGATATATCAAATGAAACTATATTATATACGTAAAAAACTATTTGATATTACTTTTAGTATTACTAAATTACTGATTACTTAATGATTTTCAATTGAAAATAGCTTTTTTTAAAAAGAGGATTATTTGGTATAATTAGCATTTAAATTATTTTCAATTATATCTCATGTAAGTAGGTTTGGTCTAATCTTAGCTGGTTATATGATATACAAAGAAACTGATTAGAATTAAACAAAATTAAAAATATATATAAATTAGTAGCTTATTATCATGTATAAGCAAAACAAGAATTGTCATATTATAATGCAAACAAAACAGTTAATGAAATTTATGATATCTTGATTAATACACATTTAAATCAAGATAAAGAACTTATTGAATTTTCTGATAATTTTCAAGATATTAATAATGAAGAGATAGTATTATTTAATAAGAGAAGGATGATTTAATAATTGATAATGTGTTAAAATTAGAAGTATTTATTAAATTTAGATAAATTATTAAAGATAATATAGAGAAAAAAGCATAAAATAAATCAGATAATCAGAATGTAATTCAAAGAAATTAATATTGAGTAGGATTTAGATACTGAAGCTGATAAAATAGTTGATCTTATATAAAGAATAATTTTACATATTTTACAGAAATCCTTAAAGTTTTAATGATATTAATTCAACATCAATTCAATATAGTTACAATATGATTACGATATAGTTAATAATATTAAATCAAGGTAAATGCAATATCATAATGATAGATCTACAAAAATATCATATTTATATAATAATAATATAGATTCAATATAGAATCATAATATCATAATGATATTAATTCTACATCAAAACTATATTATTTTGATAATGATTTGATATCAAAACATTATCATAACAATATAGATTTCATATTATTTGTTATATTATAATGATAAGAATTCTACATTAAGACTATATCATTATGATATAGATTCTACATAAATTCCTTATCATTACAATATTAATTCGATGTAGAATCCATATTGTAATAATATAAAAAATGATATAAATTCTGCATTGAATCAATATCATTACTATAATGAATTCTTATCATCATAATATAGATTGAATATATCATTATAATATCATATTGACCTTGATTCAATATA